GGGGAAAAAAAAAAAGGTATTTTGAAATGGCCATTTCTCCCTCAATTAAGTTTAATTGCCTTAAATAAGTGCACTGTCATCTTCTCCACTCCCCTTCTGTTCTTTGTAACTTCATTTCTTGAGTTTCACATCTACAACTTTTTCAGATCATCAACAGCATGTTTTTTTCTGGAAGCATATTTCACGAGGGTTTTGAAACCGGCAACCTAAGCAACACATCTCTTCCCCTCTGTGTACAGTCAGTCAGTCAGTCTGTCCATCTGCTGTTTTTTTGCACTGTGTGGGTGCATCCTAGTCTAGTGTTTGAATGCAGGATGGGTTATAATGAGGAGTGGAAATTGAATCCAATGCTCTCAGTGTCAGTAGGCAGAGGGAGCAGCTACTTATGGGTGCTGCAGAAACCCATCTCCGAAACAACATCTGGGACAGACAGCCCTTCCAAGAGAACCACAAAAAGGCAGGCGAAACATCCCTGCAAAACAAACAACTGCTGACAAAATACCCCCATCCAACAAAAGCATATTGAGATATCCCACCAAAATATATTCAACAGGGAAAATACCACACGTCTGCACATCTTTGGCAAAGACTTCAGCCGACGGCTGCTAGCCAGCTAGCAACAAATTTGTATACCAACCAGCAGGTGGCGCAAAGAGGCTCCAGTCGCTGCTTCTGGTCTCTTTGGCATCAACAAACTGGAAGCATTAACAAGATCCCAACTGCTAGTGTGGCCGGCAAACATCCTCTTCCAGGAGCGATTTCAAACAAGAAGGGCGAATCTGTTGTTTAGTCATTTAGTCGTGTCCGACTTTTCGTGACCCCATGGACCAGAGCACGCCAGGCACTCCTGTTTTCCACTGCCTCCCACAGTTTGGTCAAACTCATGCTGGTAGCTTCAAGAACACTGTCCAACCATCTCGTCCTCTGTCGTCCCCTTCTCCTTGTGCCCTCCATCTTTCCCAACATCAGGGTCTTTTCCAGGGAGTCTTCTCTTCTCATGAGGTGGCCAAAGCATTGGAGCCTCAGCTTCAGGATCTTTCCTTCCAGTGAGCACTCAGGGCTGATTTCCTTAAGAATTGATAGGTTTGTTCTTCTTGCAGTCCATGGGACTCTCAAGAGTCTCCTCCAGCAGCAGAATTCAAAAGCATCATAAGAATTCAAAAGCAATCTACTTGTTTGTAATTTCAGTGGGTAGGGCTTGCACCAGAGGGTTTGCTAAGCACTCAAGCAGCTCTTCGGTCTTCACAAGGAAAGTGATAAGAGAATTGCAGATTTGGAAGGGACCATGAGGGCTATCCAGTCCAACCCCCTGCAATGCAGGGACCTTTCACCCAACATGAGGCTCGGACCCATGCCCCTGAGATTAAGAGCCTCGTGCTCTACCAACGGAGCTATTACTAGTCTTTCCCAACCAGAAGACCTCTGGGCTCCCAGTGTTACTTGAGCTCAGGGCCCTTAGTTCCTTGTTTTCTGAGGGTGGCTGGGGAAGAGGCATAAATAAGCACCGTTTGTCAGTTCACATAGCACAGCAGTTAAGCATTTGTCGCAGGCCCACCCAACATGCTATTTGGGCTCCTTCACAGAGGTGCACCTCTGGGTTCCTAAAAACAAGATGGATCCTCCACCTTTGCTTTTCTCTACAACCCAAATGCTACAAAATAGCACACGCATTTTCAGGTCCTCCTGAGCTCTTAAAGCAAGGGGAGGGGGCAGGAACAAAACATTGGCTGGTGGTGAAGCCAGATGCAGACATAAGGAGAGAAGACGACCCTGCTGGGTCAGGCCAATGGCCCATGTAGTTCTTCATCCTGTTCTCACAACAGCCAGCTAGATGCCTGTGGAAAACCCACAAGCAGGAACCCACAAGTACTCTACCCTTCTGTGGTTTCTAGCAACTGGTATTCAGAAACATTACTGCTTCCAACTTGCTTAACCACCAGCCGTTTTTCTATCTTTTACTGCATTAAGCAATGTCTAGCATCTGCTATTTTCTGGTCCACTAGCATGTGTTGACTGTCTTGTGAAGGTAAGCATTCATCTTTCATAGAAGTCCTGATGATGAATGGCAGTTACGTAATAGCAGAGCTTGATCCTCTCTTCTTTGTCCTTGGTGCATGCGTGCCTTTGAAAACCTTATTTGCTATGTGTTCTATTACAGAGGGGAAATATTATTCCCTTAAGTTGATTCTTCCCTTCCCCCCCACAAGGAAGTTCTTTCGTTCTTTACTGCTTAATAAAAATGAAATGTGCTGGAGCCCATAGCTGTTGTCCTTTGAGTCATCTTAGCTTGGGAATGAAAAACATCTCATTTGGGATGATAGCGAATGTTAAAGAATCAGTGAAAGATTAGTGTTGACCAATTGTTTGAGTCACCTAGTTCAGTAGAAGAAATTAACACATCAGTTAGCGTCATGACTATTTTTGTCTGGTTTCTTGCTTTAGGTGGATGTTCCCTTTGTGATGATGGTAAAGGTAAAAAGGTAAAGGTAAAGGACTTCTGGATGGTTAAGTCCAGTTGAATTTGACTATGGGGTTGTGGCGCTCATCTTACTTTCAGGCTGAGGGAGCTGGCGTTTGGCCACAGACAGCTTTCAAGGTCATGTGGCCAGCATGACTAAACAGCTTCTGGCGCAACGGAAGCCAGAGAACACAGAAATGCTGTTTACCTTCCCACTGCAGCGGTACCTATTTATCTACTTGCACTGGCATGCTTTCGAACTGCTAGGTTGGCAGAAGCTGGGACAGAGCACTGGGAGCTCACCCCATCACATGGATTTGAACTGCCAACCTTACGTTCAGCAAGCCCAAGAGGCTTGGTGGTTGATGGATAGATTTGTGAGTAAGCCATGTTCATCCCTTGAAGCAGAAAGATGGGGGGTGGGGGGCGGAATCCGGCTCAGACAAAAGGAAAGACACCTTCCCACAGTGCAGAGTTAAACTGTAGAACTCACCACAGCAAGTTGCCACAATGGGTGCAAATGGGGAGCATCTAGTATAAATATTGGTGAATTTGTACATTTTGCTACTCCTATTGAGTAGCTAAACAAACTCATTCGCTTTCACTTTTGTTGACACCAGCATCCAATTCACAAGAATTTCTGATTTTGAGAATTTCATAGGAAGGACAATAAATTGAATTTTCAGTGTTGGGGTGCTCATGTTCTGCTTGCGGACTTCCCAGGGGCACCTGTTTCACCATCATGAGAATAGGATGTTGGACTGGAAGGGCCTTTAGTCTGATCTAGCAATGGAGAGGATAATTGGAAAAGTTCCTGTGCTTTTCAGGAAACCATTGCAAATAGAGAGTACCAAAAATGTTACATTGCTGGGTTTTCTTTTCCCTTCATGGAAGTATCATTTGTTGCTATTCCCCAGTATAGAGTTAACGATTATTTCGACACTGATAATGTATCAGTTAGATGCCATTATGGAAGAAGTAGAAGATGCTAATTTAGATGGTAAGCAATTAAGGCAGTGTCCTTCCACTTTTGCTCTCTGCAGGCTGCATATGGAATAACAGTCCAATGTTTGCATGGAAATAAGCTGCTTTTTCTAAAGCACACAGAGTAATGACATGGTAAATGGGGTTCAGTTTCATGTGGGTTGTACAGGGACTTGGTTCAGGGAAATATCTGGAAAGCTTACCTGAGCACTCAAGGTTGCTTCCAGAAAACCTGTTTCCTAAGCATTCATTCCAATTTCATTGTGGAGAGGTTAGACAACAGTGAGTCAAAGCAAGTGTTATCACAAATGTTTCAGTGCGTTTTCTGGACACTTTCCTTATCACAAAAAGTCTGATCTTTTGAGGGAAGCGAGTTGGTTGTGCAAATCCTCCCCCGTTAACCTGAATTTGTAAACTCAGGTGAGTTTACTTGTGTGTGATGGAATCCCACCTGAAAATGGAGAGAGTCTGGAAGTGCTTTTAGTTGTCTCTAGTCATGACTGGCAAGTCACTTTATGACGTCAGAGCAAGTAAGCCAATAGCAGCAGAAGGCCCATTAAGAATCTGCACAGCCAAGAGGCATTGCGACATTAGAGAGCAGATCAGTCTTCAAGACAGAGACTAGACAGAGACGGTGATTGTAGAAGGGCAAGCAATTTCACTCACACTCACTGTCGCTTAGCCACGATATGACTCTTTGGCTTATACTGCACTATCAGCACAGTTATATTTACCAGCCAATTAAACAAATGCTAGTCCATTTTTTCTAGGTGCCATCCATGGGAAAATGTGTATTGGTCTCAATGAGCCAGACCAAGATCACTGGTACTACTGCTGCCCTCCTATAATCTACGTAGCACCACATGCTATCAAACAAAGGCTATAACTGAACACTGTTTGGTTGTTTTATTTCCATCATCAACAATGGGACATAAAAGTATGCATAACTGCACCTTGGATGAAGGCCAAAACACATAATAATGATTATAATGCATAACCACAATCATTACAGGAGACATCAAATATTTATTCTATGAAGAGATGTAGATAGATAGATATAATTGCCATGGTCTTCAGAGTTTAACAAAAAGACTGCAAATTTGCTTCAAACCTTGTGAAGCTTTGTGAAGTGGATTTCCAGTGAATCTGCTGCTCGCCCAAGGATATTTCCACTGTGATGTGGAAATCTCCCATGTACTTACACACAAAGACACCCACATTTCCATGCATCCCAACGAAAAGCCAGGAAAACCTTGGATTCTTCCCTGGCGCTGAGCACATTTCCTCCTCTGCTATTCCTGTCTTCCCGCCTCCCGGCTCAGCTTTTAACATCTTTCCGAGAGAAGTTTTAAAAACTTCAGCCAGTAGGTGTCTCCGTTTCCCTGATCTCCGATCATCTCCGCCTAGTTCCGTTATTAATCCATTCATTAATACCATTAAATATATATACAGTATATATAAAGATACCGAACCTAATATCCCTTCGGGGCAGGCATTCACACCCAGCCCTGCCCTCCAGGCCTCTCTTATCACCTTTAAACAAGTGCAAGGATAAGCAATGCATCCCAGCCGATCTGGGCTGCCTCCCTCCCCGCCGCTGGGCCCGACCCGAGGAGGCGGCGGAGGGTCCCTGCAAAGGCGGCCTCTGCAGGCGCCCGGCGAGCCCGCCTCTCCCGGGGAGCGCCCGCGCTCTGCACCCCCCCCCACCTCCCCGCCGGCGCCCTGCCCACCGCCAGGCAACCTAGAGATTGACGCGCGACGCGGCCACCCGGAGCTGCGAAGGCGTCCTGAGCGCACCTATGAGAAGGGCCGCATCCCAAAGGGGGCTGGCCGTGGGCGCAGCAGTCGGGAGAGCGCAGCCGCCTCCTTCAGGCAGGCAGGCAGGCGGGGCTGCTGCTGCTGCTGCGGAGCCGGGGAAGCCGAGCGCCCCAGTCGGCGGGCGCCTGCCGGAGGGGAAGCATCTCCCGGCCCCTCCCTGCTGCGCGTCTCTCCCTCGCCCCGCCTCCCGCTCGCCGGGCGCCTCGGGCGGGGATGGCAGCCGCGCGGAGCGAGCGCGCGATGGAGGCGCCGCGGCGGCCGCACCTGCCGCGCCGGGAGGAGAAGGAGGACGCCGCCGCCGCCGCCTCGTAGGCAGCGCTGCCCGGATCCCGCCCTGCCTGCCAGCGCTGCCAGCGGCGGACGGGGGAAGAAGGCAGACGTAAGCAGGCTAACTATAGCATCTCCCCGGAGCCGGCAGGGAGGCAACCTGGGCGGGCAGCCTGCGCCATTCCCGGGCGAGGAGCGGCGTAGCTACAGGTGACTCGGGTTCTCCACAGCATCCCACCCCCCGCTCGGACATGGGGCTGCCTTGGCGTCTCCTCCTCGCGCTCCTGCTCTTGGCTCACCTGGGCTCGGCCGCCGAGGGCAGCCCGGGGCAGGCGGCGCCTGGCAAAGGGAAAGCGGCCAGAGAGAAGCAGGCGCCTTACCCCAGCGCCAAGAGCGCGGCGGCGGCTCCTCCCTGGAGCGGTTCCCCGGAGAAGAGCCCCGTCTTGGCCCAGAGGCTCTCCCTGGAGGTGCCCGCCAAGGTGGCCTCGTTCCTCCACACGGGCGACCCTCGGGAGCTGAGGCACGCCAACTGCTCCGGGAGGTACGAGCTGGCTCCCCCCTGGGCCGGCAAGTCCCGCCTGGCCGCCTCGCCCCCGTCGCTGCACGGCGCCCTCGACACGCTCCTGCACGCCACCAACTTCCTCAACACCATCCTGCAGAGCAACCGGAGCCGCGAGCAGAACTTGCAGGAGGACCTGGAGTGGTACCAGATCCTCATCAAGAGCCTGCTGGAAGGGGACCCCAACATCTCCCGGGCGGCCATCACCTTCAACCTGGAGCCCTGGTCCTCCGCCCCGCAGGTCTTCCTCCAGGCCATCCGGCAGGACAGCCACATCCTCCTGCAGGACCTTGTCTTCCGGGGCTCACCACCTGGCCAACGCCTCCAGCGAGACCGAGTGGTTCCACGCCTGGAAGCGCAAGGGGAGGCCCCACCAGCACCGCAAGGGCTTGAGTCCTCCTGGTGCCAAGGCTTTGGAGGGCAGCCTGAAGAGGAGGGATGGGCACCTGGTGGCCTCCGAGAGGAGCCACATCAAGTGGTCCTCCCCCTACCTGGAGTGTGAGAATGGGAATTACAAGCCGGCCTGGCTGGTCACCCTCTCTGCAGCTTTTTATGGGCTTCAGCCGAACCTCCTTCCTGAATTCAGGTAGGAGATCTGAAGTTTGACGAGTCTCTTGGTTCTTTTTTTGTAGCAAAATGTGAACAAGGGATTCTTTGCTTTTAAGAAGCCAAAGCTTTGTGAGTGAGGAGTGAGAATATGCTTGCATAGAACATTGGAATCCCTCTAGTTCCTTGCACAGGCTTCCCAAATAATATTAGTTAAGCCCTTTAACTTCAGCGCAGCCTGAGAAGTTAGTCTTCACACTGAATTCAGTGGGGTTTCCTCCCATGTATGCTTGCATGAGATTGCAGCTTTTTGTTTTGTTTTGCATCCTATAAAACTGGAATGCTGTTCTCCAACCTGATAGGAAAGTTAGAGAGGTTTTATTTTTATTTAAAAGAGAGAAAGGTATTTGTAGCATGAGTAGGGCCATAGGAACATCTGTTTGCAGCCCAGTTCTATGTGTATTTATTCAGAAGTAAGTCCCTCTGTGTTCAGGCACCCTTATTTCCAATTTCATAGCACCAGTACCTTAATATAAAGCAGCAGCTGCAAGTAGGAAACAGGGTTTTTTTCTTTTTCAAAACCATCTGGGTTGAGATTAGCATTCCTCCTCTAAAAGGAAGCAAAAATTCTGTGAAAAGGTTTCCTTTAGCCATTTGACTTGAGAGCGAAAGTGTGTGTGGGCGGGGGGGGGGGGGAGGGAATCACATTCACGATGAGATGGATTGCCCCTTGTGAAAACTTCTGGCTCCAGTGAGAATGAAAAGTAGTTTGGTACTGTTGCTAGGATCAACAGAACACCGTGACTTTGTTCCAGCTAAAGTAAGTTGTGCCTAACTATGATCTAAAGCAATGGGGGGTTTAAAATTAATCTGAACTCGTTTACACGACTGGTTTCAATGGGACAGACAGTGCAAACCTGCACAGGTTTACTCGAAAGCCAGCCCTGCTGTGTTGAGTGGCAGTTGCATCTATTAAGTGTGTTTGGAACTTCAGCCTCCTTTGGGGCTAACTTCTGCAGGATTGGGCCCTATTAAATACTTTGGTCAATATAGCCCCCCCCCCATTCCCAGTTATTGTCACCTTACTTAATCTGGGGGGGGTGTCTTAACAGTTGCAGATCTCTTTCAGCATTAGTGTGTATGCGCATAATAAAAATAGTTTCTGGTACCCACCACATTATAGCAGTAGAGCAATAGAACCAGAGGCAGAGCGGCGAATGATGGATTCAGCTGTAGTAGTTACAGATCATGCACAGTTATCATTATGTACACAGCAGTGCTAATGATAGACCTTTTCTAGTCTGAGGAGTATGTGCACATCACACATTTAAAGCACATCCCCCCTCCCCAAAGAATCCTGGGGATCCTTCACAGGTAGTTTACCCTTCAGAGAGCTGTAGTTCCTAAGCACCCTTAAACAAACTTCAGTTCTCAAGATTTTTTTGCAGGAAAACGTACTATTCAACATATTCCAAAGCCTTAGACTGCTGAGACAGTTCAGCTGTGGGAAGAAACTTGCTGCTCCTGGTATATGAATGGGAGAATTTGGACTAGAAGTGTTATCCTTTTGTTTGTTCTTGAGCTGGGATCTGGCAACCCTGGTTCTCCATCCGTTTTGGGTCCATTCCTTGTTCCTTCGTCCACATTTCTGTCTGCTTGTTGGTCCAGTGCTTTTCAGGCTCTCCTGCTAGATGAGTGTTTCAGTTGCACAGTGTCTGGTTGAGCCAAGTAACGGTTACCTTGAGAAAATGTGTACAGTTTCCTTTGGTTACCAAAGCAGGTGTCTGGGTTGATTTTTTTGGGAGGCAGGGTACTGACTGACTCCTGCTTTCTGCCACTTCTGATTTGAGAAGGAGCTTGTAAGCCCAGAGAACATAACAGAGAAAGATTTGCTTAAATAATTTATTGTTGGCAGCATTATAAAACACACACACACACACACACACACACAGAGTGCAACTCAAGGCCAATTCAAACGATGGTTTCCTGCATTTTTACTTTGAGAACTATTGAAACAAATACTATTTTTTTTAAAAAAAGGCTGAAGGTGGACTTTTCAAATTGCTGTGCATTGTTAGACTGAATTGTCATTAAATAATGTGTAGGAGAAGCACATTACAAAATCAAGCAATTTCTGATGGAGGTCCTAAGAATTAAATATTTTTTATTAAGGGCTGCTGGCAAGCTTTGGTGGTACAGTATCATAGCCGCCCTGGGATCCACCCTTGGTTTTCTGTCTGCCTTTGGTAGTAGTGTTGTGGAATTCCTTTTGTAAAGCGACCTTTTGAAAATGAATAAATAAGACTGGTGACTATAACTTTGATGACACTGACAGGCCGTTGGACTCTCTAGGGTGGGTACTGGTCCAGCACTTCAAACAATGGATAGATGTGCTAGCCTTTCCCCCTTGTCCATTGAGGCTGCTCTTTGCCTGTCTCCCTCTAATCTGGGTTAACCCACATCTCCCTCTAGCTACTAAATGCCCTTTTGGTTGACTCCCCAAGTAAACTAGGGACTCCCTTGGCTTATTCCACTGAGGTTCCTGTCTGGTTATGCAATTGGCTGGTGGGAATCTGGGATTGCCAGAGTACTTGACCAACCTCAGAGCTTCCAAGTTGGATTAGAAAGGAAATAAGCCCAGCTGTAAAGCTGATTTGTGGGGTGTGTGTGTGTGTGTGTGTGTGTGTGAGAGAGAGAGAGAGAGAGAGAGAGGTGTGTGGAGGGGGTGTTCGCTTGAGTTTTTCCAGACAATCAGAAGTCAACTGGGTCAGTCTCAATGGTAACAAAGGAATAGGTTTCCAAGAAACTGGCTGCAGCTCTTTAAAATCTCTTCCAATAAGTCCTACCTTTATTCACACAAGAATACTCTGCTTGGAGCATGCACTATTGCAGTTCATGTTAGCTTTTCTCTGTGCTGTGAAGCATCATGTTTCATTATCTAAAGTTAAAACTAACTTGGAAGAAAATTGCTCCTGGTCAATGGGGCGACACTGTTGCAGAATTTAATGATATTATTAGATGCCATCCAGCCTAACCCTGGACAGAAAAGGGCCCAGGTCTTGGTTACAGGTGATACTTACCACATAAAATGTCCAGTAGAGGTCATCATGGTAGCAGTTAAACTATACTTTCCTACCTACAAAGACTAATGCTGGTCATTGCACACGTATTTAACATATATCTTCCACGAACCTGCAAAGGTTAGGTTGCTACAATAGTGCCATGACACTTTTTGTACCTACTGCCAGTAAATATAAATAATAAATAAATTTTTATTTATACCCCGCCCTCCCCAGCCAGAGCTGGGCTCAGGGCGGCCAACACCAGTAAAATTACAATAAAAACATAATAGGGGGAAAACCAATTTAAAATACAGGTTAAAAATACAATTTAAAATTCAGCCTCATTTTAATAAAAGCCCATAGATCAAAACCATAAGGGGAGGGAAACATAAGGGTCAGACTGAGTCCAAACCAAAGGCCAGACGGAACAGCTATGTCTTGCAGGCCCTGCAGAAAGATGTCCCCTCTTGCATTTATCCCACTCAAGCGTATTGGAGGGATAGACATGTTGGCATGCAGCCAACAAAACGGGGGCAATTGGCAGGACCCCAGCTGGCTCCAGCCCACCGGACGGTGTGCCGGGCAAACTCCAGTCCTTGGTGCAGCATGAATCTGCGACCCGAGCTTCAGAAGCTAGGGCACGCTACTCAGCGGAGTAAACGCTGTGCAACAGAAGTAGCAGGAGAGGCTGTGTGAGCATATTTTCCAGCAGTTTATTCAGCGTACATCAAGACAAAAGGAAACATGTCTGCTCTCCTTCGTGTCCAAAGCAAACAGCATAAGCAAAAGCTATACACAAACGGAAGTTCCCAGCAAGCTGTGCTGGAGTGTAAACAGGCATGTGACACACAACAATCATGCCTGTTCCTTAAGGTGGAACGGAACATCCCAACAAGTCATAGGTTTAAGTCCGTTATTGCCTCATGGGAAAGTTGGCATTCAATAGATCTTTTCCAACTTAGATGGCTGTAAAAAGGGATTAGGCAAATTCATGGAGGAAAAAGGCTCACTATGGAAGCTATATGCTGCCTCCAGGATCAGAGACACCATGCCGCTGACTGCCAGTTGCTGGGGAACATCAGGAGAAAGTTATTGCCTTCATGCCCTACTTTTGGATATTCCATAAGCATGCAGTTTGCCGTTGTGGAAAACCGGGTGCTGGACTAAGCAAGCCGTTGGTCTGATTCAGCAAGGCTCTTCTTAGGTTCGCCTTATCACATCACATCTGTAATGAATATTTTCATACCATGTTATAGACTGCATTTTCTATGAGAGCCAGTGTGGTGTAGTGGTTAAGAGCGGTAGTCTCGTAATCTGGTGAACTGGGTTCGCGTCTCTGCTCCTCCACATGCAGCTGCTGGGTGACCTTGGGCCAGTCACACTTCTCTGAAGTCTCTCAGCCCCACTCACCTCACAGGGTGTTTGTTGTGTTGTGGGGGAGGAAGGGAAAGGAGAATGTTAGCCGCTTTGAGACTCGTTCGGGTAGTGATAAAGCGGGATATCAAATCCAAACTCTTCTTCTTCTTTCTATGAACCTGGGCCTTGTAATGGACTAGATCCCTTTGGGGGGGGGGAGGTGTTGCTTATGCTGCCCTGCCAGAGCCAGCCCTGCAGCACATTGCAAGGCTGGGATCTGATCAGAGTCTTTGCAAAGCAGCTCAGGGAGGGCAGCATGAGAAGGACGCAACAACCATGCACTGTTCGATCCCAGCTCCTCAAGGGTGAGGCTGGGATCGAAGGGTCCATGACGTCCTGCTCAAAATTAGCCAGGGAGCAGGTGCATCTTCCTACCGGCGTGGGTCCAGTTGCAACTACGTGTGTTTCTCCTTCTTGCACTGGGACAAGTAAATTGTTGTAAGAGCAAGCTAGAGTCAAGCAATGTAGCTGAGATGATAATTGTCGGGTTGGAAGGGACTGTCAGGGTCATTTAGTCCAAACCCCTAGCGAATAGACATTCTGACATTCTGACCGCAAGCTA